TTATGTAAGAAAAAGAAATGAATCTAGTGAATTTAAAAAGAAAGAAGTGCTGTTCTGATTCTCAGTATGAGATGGACACAAAGCTTTAAATGACTGAAAACACATTTCAGCTGACTGAAACTTAACAAAAAGGAAAAATCAGACTTTAAAATACTCACTGAATGGCACCATATCAATGAATTTCCTTCTCAGGAAATATTTTTAGACTGACTGTGAGTCGGTGACCTTACATGTATTTTCATTTTCCTGAATATATTATGACTTATCTGCCACCCCAGAAGCTAGACTAAAATGCAAACAAGTGGAACATAGTAAGTATAATGCCTCTGAATGTAGCAGATCATTCACCACACACCCCTGACAGCATCAAGCATCAGGTTTAGATCAGAAATGGCTGAATGCTGATTTAATTTCATCCCTCAGAGAACAGGAAACAGAAACAGAGCGAGAGTGTCAAGTGTGTGAGGATTAATTCCACCACTTACCCTCCTGAGGTGTGCTAATGGAAGAGCCATCAAGGGGAAAAGTGTGTGTCTTTGTCTGAGCCTGAGTGTATGAGGATGGATAATTTATTCAGGACAGAGCAAGTGTATGTTCATGTGACATAAAACCTGGTGTTTTCTACCAGATACATTTCTCTTTAAGAGCTAATTATGACTTTATGCTTTCCTTTCAACCCTGAGAGTTTCTGAATATGTTTGCCCTGGAAGGAGTGTTTGAATAGAGTTTGGTTACATAAAGCTGCTTGGCCAAAAGGTTATTACAAATTAAGTCAATAAATATGCAAAGGCAAAAACAGGTTGCCCAAGTTGGTCCTGCTCAGCAGAAAGACCAAAGGAATACACCACCTGAAATTAACACTAAGTAGAAATCTCTGAGCGGAAGATGAAAAGCTTTTTATGTTAACACACGTTACAAACTGGCCTTGCAAACAAAGCTCCTCACAATGACTCAAACCACTCTGAAATAAATCTGCTCAAGTAGGAGTGAAAAGGCAAGAAATCAATAACCTAGCCCTGAAATGTATAACAGAGGTTAAATTAGAAGGCCTGATTTCTCTGCAGGAGCTGACGAGTCTAGCTAACCACACACAAATGCACTGCACTTCACCTGTGCACTGACGTGAAAAGCAAAGAGAGTTGGCTGAGCAAGAGTGAATACATCAATTAGGCTCCATCCATTTAGTCCACCCACCACCAGCTGATCCTTGGTAAAAACAAACAAAAACACAAAAAAACACCTCCTGACAGCGATTCTGAGATCCCACCGTACCCGAGTCCATGAGAGGAATCATGTGGTGAGCTGCTGGAACCACTATGGAGCTTGTGCAGCTTGCACGTATTCACAGTGAGAACTTCACATCACTGGGAATTTGGACTACAAGATGCCCTTTTATTATTTAGGGAGGGTTCAGATTGACTCTCTACCAATATTATGTATTATAGTTTGTAATACCACCAACTGCTGGTCAGATCTCAAAGTAGCTTGGCTGCTCTGCTTGGTTTTAGCTACTGGATTGTATGTACAGAGGCTGCATGTTGGCCCTAACCTTTGATGCAACACATGTTGTGTACCAGCATACCTACTGTATGCCTCATAAAGACTTCAAAGCTGTGGATAAAAAATATTAAACCTCTGAAATATGTCGGCATCTGTCTGTTTTTGTATTTTGTCCTTTTTGTCTCCCCAGTCTGTCATGTCTCTCCGTATCCCTGATCCCAGTGTCACGTTCATGTTTCTTAGTCTGAGTCTCACTGTGTGTGTGTGTTACTTCCTGTTTTATTCTGTCCTTTGTGTGTGATGTTCAGCTTTGCTCCGCCTGTCTCATTAGCTGTGATTCAGTTCAGCTGTGTTCCCATGTGTATATATTGTCTGCATCTCCCTCTGTTCCTCATTGTGTTCTCCCTCATGATGCGTACCACCTCTGCTTGAGTGTAGCTTTGTATTTCTCATTGATTACTGTACTGTTGATTCTGACTGACCACTGTAACTCTTTCTATTTAGGCATGTGTCACTCAAGCCTGTCCCGCCCACAACCAGAAAGAGAGAGAGTATTACTCCGATACTTGCATCTCTACATTGGCTGACAGTTAAATATAGAATTGATTTTAAGGTTTTATTATTTGTTTTTAAACCTCTCCATGGTTTGGCTCCAGGTTACATTTCAGATCTCCTTAGCCTACACCTACCCACTCGAACTCTGCGCTCCTCCAGTCAGACGCTTTTATTATTTCCATACTCCCAGTTCAAATCTAGAGGTGACAGGCTTTCTCCATTGCCGCCTCGAGACTCTGGAACAGTCTTCCCTCTTCCTCCTTCTTCAAATCAAATCTGAAGACCTACCTATTTTCCAAGGCTTTCAGATCTCTCTGACACCTATTTTATTCTGTTTTATTATTCTGGTCTTTTATCTCATTGGACGATGTTTGCATGTGTATACTTATACATGTATTTTATGTTCATGCATGTGTGCTTGTGTGTGAATGTGTACACTTTTGTATATGTATGTGCATATTTGCATGTACACATATATTTTTACAAACATATATGGATGTCTCACAATCTTTTCTATAATGTTTTGATCTTATCTATTTTAATTATTTTTATTTGATTATATTATCCCTCTGTTCGGCACTTTGGCCGACACTTGATGTCCTTTAAATGTGCTATATAAATAAAGATCACTTGACTTGACTTGATGTTCTCTGCTTTTTGATAGCAATAAAGCTGTGATTTTGACTGTTTGCAGAGTCCTGCATTCTGCCTGCCACATGACATGCTTGTGTCATGACAGTATCATTAGCTAAAAAATGGAGAGAGGTGGAGGAATCTTTTCAGAACTGTTCCTTTAATGCAATGGCACACTATAAAAACACCTCTACACATACAAAAATATACTAGCATATTTAAAATGTCATAAGCCTAAAAAGTCTTCATCTGAGACCCTTTTTACCTTTAAGAAGCTGTTTTATACAGCATCACTCGTTTAAAAAATGCTCAATATCGTATGCTAACTTTACCCACTGACTTCACCAAGTACTTTATACTTAAACACCAAAAAATGTATAAAACAAACAAAAACAGAAAAATTCAGATGGAAAGATTTTATTATTTCTTTGAATCTATTTTTATTTGGGAGCACATGATCATTAATAGCTTAGTCACAAGTTCAGGTCAAAAGCATATCAGCCAGTAAATATGCTCACACACAAATAGTGTCATGCTCAGGTGAGCACCTAATGCTGTGTGAAAAGTGCGTGAAACCATGAAAATATGATTAGAAACTATTGACTTATTGTTTCTCTCTCACAGTCTTTAAGGCAGATTTGAGACCTATGTACGAGTTTCAAATCACTGTAACAGTACTCCACTTAAACCACACATACTCCAAGTGATTTTAATCATTTATAACCTATTGTTAGAAAAAGTCTCTTATGAAGTGAGACACAGTGAGACACAGTAGCGAGCTCCAACGCATTTATTTACTTGAAAGGAAGGAAAAGCATACACAGTGAACATCTCTGCAAGTTCCATTTATACACTCCTTCCAACGTTATCTTGGGAACATACGTGTGTGACGCTCTTACAGGGTTTGATTTGATTATGATTCATTAATCATAATCAAATACTTTATTAACTTAAAGAAATTATGTGGTTACAGATTCTCTAACGGTATAATCTTGTTATTTTCACTGTGGAGGATGTGCAAAAGGGCGTGACTACTGCACTGTGTACTGTGCATTACACTGAGGAGTCGTACAGACAAATATTCACAGGCAGGAATGATTTCCTGTGTCATCCAGTGGTGCATTTGTGTAATCTCAGTCTCTCACTGAATGTGCTGGCATGTCACGGAGTGGGTGGAAGGTACTGTCCAACGTTGTCCTTATCTTGGACAACATCCACCTCTCCAACACCACCCCAGCTCCATCCCCCACAATATTACTGGCCTTGCAGAACCAGTTTCTTGATCCGCACTTGATCTTGGCATTTATGGCCCCTTAACTTGCAACATCAGAGGATGGCACTGACCACAGCAGACTCGTAGAAAATCATGAGCACTTTCTCACAGATGTTAAAAGACCTCAGCTGCTCTGACCCTTCATATGCCCTATGTGTACTCTAGGGTATTTACAGTCCTCCACAATGTCCAAGGGGAGAGGTCCCTTGTCCCTTGTGCCGCCCCTGTGTTGCTGATCACCTTGTCAGACCTTGTGGTCTTCCTGTCAGGTAATCAACAATCCACAATTTTGTTGTATATGTACAGTCAAGGACGAGCCTTTCTAGGATCTTCATGACGTGCAAAGTCAGTGCCACTGGTCTGTAATCCTGGGGGTCACTGGGACATGTAGTGTGCCAGCAGCATCCCCATATGACATATAACAGCACTGCTCCTTAAAATACTTGAATCAATATAAGTTTAGGATTTAATCACATCCTTAAAATGACACGCTCACCATTACATAAATCACATGTACACCATAGTTGGAGTTGGGGAATGGCTGCAATCGCAGTATTGTGAGATGGTGAACGGTGTACCTTTATGATCAATGATCTTCTTTAATAAACTGTTCACCATCACCTCACCTTATCTAATGATATGCACTGATGAGATAAACTACATACTGACTTGAGGTGAAAGTTTACTTGATTTTGTGCCATATAAATAAAATAAACAGAATAAATTATATATAAATTATGAGCCTCGCCTCTGTCAGTGCGCCCCAGGGTGGCTGTGGCTACATGTAGCTTGCCATCACCAGTGTGTGAACGTGTGTGTGAATTGGTGGATGACTGAATGTGTAAAGCGCTTTGGGGTCCTTAGGGAGTAGAAAAGCGCTATACAAATACAGGCCATTTTTACCATTTACCATGTTCTGCAGTGGGCATTTGTAACTTCATTAAATGTATTTATTATGATTTATTAGCAATAAAAAACATGATGTTGTGCTGTCAAAACAGCAGAGAGTCCAATAAAAATGATTCAACAGAGACAGGAGGAAGCATCAAAGAGTTTTATTGCCAGTCGATTAAAGAGAATTTAAGAAGTGTATCCGTTCTACATATCCAGTGAGTGTTTGTGGCAACAACGTGATACAGTGTTTGTGTGTCATTGTGAATTCTGTTTCTTCCACTGTTCTGGTGTGAGGGTCTTCTGTTCAAAAGCATGGATCTCTTTCAGCTCCTCGGCTAGACAAGTATTCACCATCCTGCCAACACACAGTACACACAGCACAGTGACATGACGAGCTTTAAGGCTGCAGAAACGGCTAGAAAGGAGTTTGACTGAAACCCGCACAGACGTATAATCTGAGCAAAAGTCCTGCGTTACACTTCATTTCTTTATATTTTGCTAGGAAAATAGAAAATATTTGCTGTGGTTTATGGAAATATGTTGCACAATTCTAACCAGCTTGAAAGGCAACGCTGAACACTCTGATGCTTCTTCAGGTCATTTTCAGGAATAGTTGCCCTTCATGAAGGAAATTCAAAGCTCTTCTTCGGAGGTTTCTGCCTTTGTTCTGTTCTGTGTCTGGATAATCCCACACAGCTTCAATAATGTCGAGCTCTGGGAAGGCTAGTCCATGACTGACAGTGCTGCACTGTGTGTTCTTCTATCCAGGTATGATTTAACTGCACTGGTGGGATCATTGCCATGCTCCACACCACTGGCTAGAGCCTCCACTGTGTTTTAAAGATGACTCTACACACTCACAATGTTGAACCTCTCTCCCCACCTCCTCTGTACATACCGATGATGATTTGAAGCAAAAATATACAATTTTGTTTCTCTTTTTGTTTCATTTCCTGTTAAAATTGCTAATTTTTTAAAGGACTCAAGCCATACAAAGTCTTGCACTAATAGCCATTAAGGAATCACTTGGTATTTGCAAAAATACTTGTTTTTTTATTGTTTACATTTTTCATATATTTAATTAAAGTAATTGGAACAAAATATATGTTTTTGCAGTACGCTACTATTAAAGTGTCTAAAGACACAATATAAAATTCTTTGCCTAGTTTTCTGTTATATGTAGCCATAACACAGGTTCATCCCTTGAGCCTTTTTTACAAACAAATAATCCATCCACAGCTTTGTTTTGTCATCAGCACCTCATGCGTACACACTGGCACATGTGTTATTACCTGTGTCTCTGCAGCAGTGGTTTGTTCTCAAACTGCGGCGAAACCACCAGCACTTTGAAGCTGGCAGCACATCTGTTGGCTGATGTATCCTCCACCTCCTGGTTAAGCACAAGATCAAGTATGTGAGTACCTTTACTTTAGACAAATAATCTAAATACTTCTATAAAAATACATTTCAAGGTCATTATTACTCATCCTTTATTATAAAAAGGTAGATTTGCAGTAGTTGTGTGAAGTGAAACTATTGAGTATCAAGCTGCAACTAACATTTTCATAACCAAATGATGTGCTCATATTATTTGCTGCATTAATCAATTCATTGTTTGCATTGTTTAAAAACAGTGAGATAGCATCACCATTAGCCAGAAGCCAAACTGACACCTTACTGTACTTCTGTACTTCCTCTGAAATATACTGGTTTATGTGCCATTAGAAAAAGAACTCATGTAAAGTATGAAAAGTACACTGATGTAAGCGTACCTTCTTTCATTCCAGCAATGCACATTATTACAACATAGTGTCAATAATTACAGCTCTGATTTTTTCATGGTAGTTTCATTTTAACAGAGGCAAAAATACATTACATAAAAGTTATAAATTGATTTGTGTGTCATGTGTAAAACATGAGTGAGTGGTGGTGAAACCCTTGTTGCCTAAAAAAAAGCTTGTAGTTGGTCACCAGGCTTGCACACATCTCATGAGACATTCTGGCCCAATCTTCACAGAAACTCTCAGCTGTTTAGGTTTGTTGGCTGCTGTTTCAGCTCCATCCACAGATTTTCTATTGGAGTCCTGGAGACTGGCTATGCCACTCTATGACCTTAATGTTCTTCTTATTTAGCCACTCCTTTGTTGCCTTGGCGGTATGGTTTGGGTTAGTGTTGTGATGGAAGACCCATCTTCAATGTTTTATGATACATGGTCCTGCCCAGAGGTGGAAAGTAATGAAGTACAAATGCATAGGTTAAAAGTATATTTAAGTACAGTACCAATCTGTACTTCAGTATTTATTTTTCTGACAACTGTACTTTTACTCCCTACATTTTTAAACAAATATCTGTACTTTCTCTACACATTTTCAAAACAGACCAGTTATTTCAGGTTCGACAGGATCATCTCTTATACTCGGGATTTTAAGTGGGCTGGAAAGTGTGCAGGTGTTTGTATGTTGAAGCCTTAACACAAAACACCGTCAAAGTATAGTGTTTCACCCTCCATGCTTGGTGTTCTTTGGGTCATACTGAGCATTTCTCTTTCTCCAAACATGGTGAGTCGAGTCGAGGCCAAAAAGCTAAATTTTAGTTTCACCCTATTACTGCGCTTTCTCTCAAGCCTTCTCTGAATTATTTAGATGTTTCCTTCCTTCTTCAACCCAGATTTCAGTCTGTTACAGCGTAGTGTGTTTTCCAAGTGGTGTTCCAGGTGGCCTTGGTCCTACCTACCCTTGAAATCATCGACTCCTTCTGTCTAGTTTTGGGCTGATTCAACCGTTATCATCCTCACCCATCATCTTTCATGTTGGTAAGATCTTGCATATGGCATACAACCTGGGATAATAGGGGGTCGTTTAATATTTCTTCCATTTCTGAATTATAACAGTTGCTACCTTCTCACCAGCTTTCTTTCTTTTGGTCTTGTAGCCCATTTCAGTCTTGTGCAAGTCTACAATCTTGTCCCTGATGTGCTTTGACAGCTCTTTTGTCTTGTATGTGATGGTGGAGAGGTTGGAATTGAAGAAACTGATTATGTAGATAGGTGTGCTTCTACCTCACATCCATGTCCAACTTAGAATTACAAATTAAACTAACAGACATGTCTTTGAAATGCGGGAGGAATCACACAGACACATGGGCATTATGCAAATAGCACACATAAAGGACCCAGCTGGGGTTCAAACCTTTTTTCTGTGAGGCAACAGACCTAACCCACTGTGCTACAAATGGGCCCTTGTAGCTGTAAAATGTTACTTCAAAGTTAAGGTTTTGTTGTTAATGACTGAAAGCACTTTGAATGTGCACAGACACACACACACACACACACACACACACACACACACACACACACACACACACACACACTCTCTCTCTCTCTCTTAGGAACAGCCTTGAACCTACCACGTGCACTGCCGCCAGCTCTTTGATAAGTCTGTCCCGGATGTGATCAGCTGTTACTGACATGTCTACATGATATAAAAACGGAAACAAACCGATTGCAGGGTTAGTAGTTAGCCGGACCGGCAGCTGCTTTGTCACACTGGATCTGATGACTGATGTAAACTGCCACTTAAAATAAGGGCGTTATATTCACTCGTGCATTCTCGGTATATTTAAAAGAAAAATACTCTTCGACTGTTAAATCGTTGAAGATGAGAGTATTACCAAAGGCTGTGATGCTGTCGCTCCTTAGTGACTCTGTGCGGACGTCCTACTGGCGTCAGTCTTCGGCGCTAAGATCACAACAGACCGAAAGAAACACCAATTGCATTGTGACAAATTACACAGTGCCCAATCATTTGATAGCCGTACATACAGTAGGCGGGACCAATTATTTAAAATAGCAAATCATAACACTAGAGGTCTATGCAGAAAGCCAGACTAAAGTTTTGCAGTTTCAATTAATGAATCAGAAAAGACTGCACGTATCCGACATCTTTAGTCATAGATGTGTTAGTATAGCCTGACTGGTATAAGATGTCACGCTTTTGTTAGCTACTCTGCGTCGTTACGCTTTTTTGAATTTTGAATTTTATCAGGCAGATTTTTCGACTACTAATACAGAGGCTGTTTATGTGTATGTACTTTTTTTTAAAGCGACCAAGCAGTCGGAGGTGGCTAACTGTGGATGAAAAACGTAAAGATTTTGTGCAAAAGTCACGTAAGTGTTGAACAGTACTTGGAGTTATTTGGTGTGTATTATACCTGTATAATACTTTAGCATGTAGCCAATGTTAGACACTGTGACCGATATCTGGTAAAGTCGTGATTCAGTCTTGGGCTCATGAGAGTAGTCTGCTTATGCTGTTACTATGGTAGTGGAGGTGGAAAGTTTCTTCGGGGTGTATATGCTGTACTGCATCAATCCAAAATTTAAAGGCCGTATCTACATCGGCTTCACTGTGAACCCAGAGCGAAGGATAGGACAGCACAATGCTGGGAGGCACAGAGGAGGGGCCAAGAGGACCAGCGGGAGAGGACCGTGGTAGGGCCTCGCAACTTTATACTGTACGGTGTACCGCACCTTGGACATTAGTTGCTATTTACTGTGTCCGTCTGTCTACAGGGAGATGGTCCTCATTATCCACGGCTTCCCATCTGATATTGCTGCTCTCAGGGTAAGTATCAAGACACTGTCCAATCTATAAGTGATGGAAATGAATCAAAAACTCTCAGAGCACCATTGTGACTATAATAAAGTGTCACCCAAGCCCATAGCAATAAGAGCACAGTTTCATGCGTGCACAGTTTTCAGAGTTTGTTTCTTTACATGTGGTCGTGCAATCTTCTACAGTTTGTCAGTTGGAATTTCATGCAAATGTTAGTATATAATAAATGTGATGATTAATTTGCTTTGCTTTGCTTTAAATCATTGGATTTCAGCAGAAATCTGCCAATCTGGGCTTTAGTTGATGAAATTTCCATTTGTCATTTTTTTCACCTAACGATAGTGGGTGGGTGGGTGGGTGGGTGGAGGGTATGTTTACAGAGTGATAAAAATAAATATAGGCCCATTTTTCAGCACAGAAATTGAGCATGATTTTCAACCATTCAGCTCACACAATGATCCTTAAAGCTAACAGAAAGAAAAACATGACCATGACTGCATGTGCACGCTAGACAGGTCAGATTCATGATCAAACATTAACAGCTGAAGTTTAGTTGAATGTTTCCAGAGTTCAGTTTAAATGAACTCTGGAATCTGAACTCCAGTCTTGTTTGATTTATTGTGGTCAGAAGACTGTCGCAGTGGACACAAAATCATCCGTGGCTAGTCTTAGCACCAAATAACCACAGAATAGAAGAGATAGTGACCATAGTGTTTGTGTTCTGAGACTCTATGTTTTTTATGTCACAGCCTAATTGCATTTCCAATAAATCTGAAACACAAACACAACATCTCCCCTCTTCTCAGGTGTAGTTCTGATGCCTTGAAAGTTGCTGGAAATTTGGAGGTTTTGGAGTTTCAGAAAGGCTGATCTTGTGTTATGAGACAGTAAGGGCCTCATTTCTGTAGCTGGGACAATATGATTCAAAATAAAAAAATATGCTCCAGACAGCAGGGTTAGCTAGCTTTACTACTTGATTTCTCTGTTCATCGCGTCTTTGCACAACAACATGAGCAACAGAAGAAATCCTCTTTTTGCGGAAACATAGATAGCAGAGGGGCGATCCAGAGACATGCTGATAAGGTGGGCCCTGAAATGTTTAAAGACTACTTTAAACATTATATTTTATTAATGGAATTGCAGATTCCCGTCCCTACCTGAGAATGGTTCTACCAGAGGTTTCTTCCTGTTAAAGGGGAGTTTTTCCTTCCCACTGTTGCAAAGTGCTTGCTCATAGGGGTCATCTCATTGTTGGGTTTTAGTGTTTACTTGGTGGAGAGTCTTTACCGTACAGTATAAAGCACCTTGTGGCACTGTTGTCTATATAAATAGAATTGAACCAGACTGAAAACAGACAAGGTTTTAGGCACAAGTGAAATGAGGAAAATACTGCCATGAAGGGAAATAACTCAGATTAATATTTTGCAAGCTCCATCCAAGCTGGACACTGTCCTGTGTGGCTGTGTGACTGTCATGTTTCTGTGTGCCAGTTTGAGTGGGCGTGGCAGCACCCTCATTCCTCCAGGAGGCTTGTGCATGTATCTCGGCGCTCCAGAAAAGAATCGAGCCTGGAATTCCACTGGCGAGTCGTCTCCAACATGCTGAGGGTTGCGCCATGGAACAGACTGCCGCTAACAGCCCGCTGGCTCAAACAGGAGTACAGGATGGACTTTGAGCCTGGCCTGCAGCCTCCCCTCCATATCCCCATCGCTTTTGGCACCGTAAGAGCCAAAAAGACACCCTCGCTACAATGTCAGGACGAGGAAGAGGAGGAGGCGTCCATGTGTTTTCTCTGTGAGAAGCACATCAAGGTAGAGTCATCTAACAGATCAGTATCAGTGCTTTTACACATTTCTGTTCAGTTTAAACAGCAGGATGTCTTTAATGGTCAGCAGGATTAACTCATCAAAATACTCAATGGCTCAGATATTGTTTGGTTGTTTAGATACTTGTTTTTCAAATCATATCCATCTGAGCACATTGTTGATATATATTTTTTAATCTAGGAACATTTTAACCTACTTCAATGACCTTTCTTCAAATAAACAGGCAGTGGAGAGAATGTGTGGAGCTTCCTGCTCTGCAGCAGAGCTCCTGACCTGTCCCTCTGTTTTATTTTACTTTAGCCTCAGCCAAGCCGATTTACTCAGGAACAAATAAAATACTGAAATGAACATTAAGTTATCTAAGTGAATTTTATTCAACTCAACTTTAACTTCCCCTGAGTATCCAAACGACGCAGGGTTGAAAATAATGTGCAAAGTCGGGCTCCCGACGCAGGGGAAACAACTTCTGTCGGGGATAACTACCTTGACACAAGACTGGCTCTAGTGAGCCTTGACATCCCAGTCGACTATCTACTGCTAGCTGGTGGGATGTCAGGCATCTCCGAAAATGTGGGAGCACTTTTGCAAACAGGTGACGTCTTCATAAATCGAGGTCTCGCCTGAAAATATCTTGAAAGTTTATTTTGTGTCCCAGAATCAGTAAAAGTTCAAACTTTACTTGAAATTTTAGCTGAATTTAATGTAATGTAAACAATGTAATGCTTTTGTGCTCTTCGAGGTGTCAGAGAAGCTGAGCTGTGTCCACCCTTCCTGTGGGATGAGAGGTCATGTAATCTGCCTTGCCAGATATTTCCTGAGGTCTGAGCCATCCCACCTTCTGCCAGTTGAGGGCGAGTGTCCTTCCTGCGACAGCTCGATGCTGTGGGGAAGTCTCATCCGACATAAACACGGCTGCTTCGGAGACCTGGAGGAGGTCACGCTGTCTGCAGCCCAAGTTAGTTACAGCATCTCATGCTCAGTATGTTTAGATAGAATACATTCAGCTCTCTGTTCATTACTCACTTTTATTATTTGCATGTCTCCTGTTGGTTCTTTACTAAAGCCTCTCACAAAAAGCTTTGCTCACATTGATTATGCCAGAGGCGGTTACTGGAGTCTCACTGTATTTTCGTTTTGTATTTTATTTTTTTCATGTACAAAATTAAGACAAAATGCCAAAGCAGTGTGTGAAAACCAAGTACACCCTATGATTCAGTAGCTTGTAGAACAACGTCTACCAGCCACAACTCAGAGTAATCATTTTCTTATGACGTTATCAGTCTCTCCCATGGCAGTGGAAGAATTTTGGCCTCTGGTGTGTTTGATTCTTTGGGTCACCGTGCTGACTAGGGTTGTTCTGATTTCATAACTTGGACACTCTCATTCCTTACACTTTAATGACACATACATATGGGGCCTTTTGAGGTGGGCACACTGAACAGGGTCCTCACCTCTGGTGCCGGTGCTGGTTGGCGCCCCCACCCACTGGCTGGTGCATTGGTGTTTCTCGGTGTCTGTGGCTGAGTGCTCGGTTGGGTTGTGGCTCACTCTCAAAGGCTGCTTTGCATGACCTGGCCCTCCTGGCTCTGGCTCACCACGCCCAAGCAGGGTGGTGGGCGTGGTGCTCTTGGGTCTCAGGTCCTGGGCCTGGAGCTCAGTCTGCTCTGGCACAGCTGGCTGCCGGCAGCACCTGCGGGCTCATTTCTGTGGCCCTGGGCCTTCTGCACTGTGGCTGCTGGCTGCTTACCTATGCTCTTCTCCAGGTAGGGGCTGCCATTGTCCTTGAAGTGGTCTGGGGGGGCCTCTGGATGTCTGTTGCCCCGGTCACCTCCTTGCCTGCTTCATATCCTGTATTAGTAGTACTGTGTGCTGTTCAGTCAAATTTCTAATTTATTCCATTTTTATTATTTATCTTTAATTGCCAGGATTAGCTCTCCACTCTCTGGCCCCTCCGTTCTGTTCAGTTCAGCTACAGTCTCCCCTCTGCTCTGCACAGCCAGCAAACTGCCTGCTTATCCACATGTCCGTAATCTGCTCTGCAATAATTATTCGTCTATTATCTAATTGCAGTTCGCTGGCTGCAATGTTAATGATAACAGACGGCTAATGTGGCTATCGGGTAATTGCTAACGCTAAACACCTAATGTTATTGTGTGTGCCAGCCAGGCTAACGTTTATGATAACTGTTTAATATTTCAGTGTTGCTGAAGTGAGAGTTTTACTGAGCTCTGAATTTCCTCTGAAAGTGTTGTTCAGTGTAATGCATGTTAACTACTTCAGCTGTCAGTGGGGGGAGGAGCTGTGAGCCTAAAGTTGCCTGTCAGCTGGAGGCAAAGATGATTGACACTGTTGCACACGAGAATCTTAATTCAATGTTAATTTTAGATTCGATTAATATCAGAATAAAGTTGTTTTTTGTTGTTTTGTTGGCACGAGGCTGGTGCTGTATGGTATTCTGAGTGGTAATCTATTTAACAATTTACTACTCTGATCTGCAAACTGCCAAAACCTCTGTTTTCATAGAAGTGCTCAGACTTGATGATCAGTTAATTATGTGCATTTGAGCTTAGCAGTACTGGCTTCTACTCGCCTATTTACCTATGTACTTAGTTTTTCACACTTTGTTTCTGCATTTTATCATTTGAATCAGATGATCTTTCATTGATCTCTAATTGATAAAGACCGTATGCATTCTAATTTACGTAACTGGACATGTAGGTACAGTTGGGCCTTAAAATGTCACATCCCTTTCAGAAATCGTGTGTGTGTGTGTGCGCGTGTGTGCGCGCGCGCGTGCGCGTGTGTGTGTGTGTGTGCGTGTGTGCACCACACCAGTAGATCTGGAATAAAATGAAAAGTAAATATAGAAGATTTAAGGTGCTTAATTACTTTGCTACTTTGTACTGATCTTCCACAGAGTCACTGGGCAGACAAACTGCAGATATGAAGAAGGGGTAGCTGTAAAAAAATGTGTTTACTTCTCACTGGACATCACATCACTGTCAGAAGAACTGGAGCACTGCGTGGAAAGGACCGTGCTTCCAACATGATCTGCAGGCGACTGTGTCAGTGGCCTGGCATTAATATGGTGCTTTTCTAGCCTTACTGACTACTCAGAGCACTAGAAGCCACGTTTCACCATAAGTTATACAGCAAATTCTTATTCACAATCTATTTGAACCTCTAACTCATGCAATCATAGGGCAAGAGGCAGGATACACTCTTTTTTTTGTTGTCATTATTAGTGTTGAATTAGGTGCGAGTGATGTAGTGTTAGTGCTGTCTTCTCTTCGTTCCAGTCTGCTGGAGTCTGAGTTTGGGAGGAAAACCACACAGGGAGAATATGCAGAGTACACACATGTATTAATTAATAGTTACGTGGTAATTCTAAGTGTGGATATGGGCGTGTGAATGGTTGAATCTCTGTGTTAGCCCTGTGATGACAACATATCCATGATGTTCCTGCCTTTCCCTTACCCAGTGATAACAGGAACTCCAGCCTAACTTTTGTCTTGTTTCTGTCACTTTCTCTTAATTATTTAAAAAGCAGAATAAAATCTTCTGTTTTTATACATGACTGGTAACTAATTCTTCCATTCTGTATGTATTATTGTAATATTATGCCTTATAATATAAAGCGCCTTGAGGCAACTATTGTTGTGATTTGGCGCTGTATAAATAAAACTGAGTTGAATAACTGTTTTGGGGGTATAATCTTGGTTATGGTTCCCTGAGCTATAAGTCTGGCCCATATTTTTTCTGTACACTACCACAGAGGATTTTAAATCAGCCATGATGTGACTGGAGTGCGAACTATTTGTATATGTATGAATATGTATATGTACACTGCAGGTGAAAACGTTTAGACCACTCCAATTTTTCCAGTTATTTATTGCAAGGTCTGTCCTACAGAGAAGCTGCAAAGAAAGTCAAGGTGTCAGTGAGTACAGTTTCCTTCACCATCAAAAGGCTCAGTAACAAACTTTGACAGGAAGAGGTCTGACAAACCCAAAGACACAACTGAATCAGAGGACAAGTTTCTGAGAGTTAACAGCTTGCGTAATAGGCGGCTCACAGGACATCTTCAAGCACAAATTAATAGTCGTATTAATCAAGTCTCAGTTTCTTGCTTCTTCTTTTCCTGGTCAACCTCCATGAACTGATTTGGCTAATGTGCCTTGTTCCTTGGCCTGGAAGTCCCCCTGTTTTCTGTTTGATGTGTGTGTATGTTTGTGTGTATATATGTATGTGTGTGTATATATATGTATATATAATGGAGGGTAAAGTGCCACTTTGATATTACACATGATTGTTATTCTCAAAATACTGATTTGGTTTTAACTCAAGACTGTACTGGAGCATTTTCGTGGCTGTACGTGAGTCTTTTGCGCCTGTCCCATCTTCACTCCTGGGCGGGAGGGGCTTGTACGGTGATCACTGGCTGAAAGGCACAGAAAATAAGGTTGAATATCATTACCTCTATGAGCCCTGTCTAAAGTTAGTAACAATGATTGTGTGGCCTATTCTTAATGGGATAACAAAAAAATATTAATTTACTGTGGAGGGCCTCAAGTGCCATGGTTAAATAATTATAATTGAAAATAAATCATTAATTAGATATATAAATAATTAATCAATAATATCATGTCAATTAATTTCATGTAAAAGATTTAATAATTTTTTTATTTAGTTGTTTTCAATTGTAATTAATTAATTACACAATTAGTTATTCAATGGCTTATTTCATTAAGTCATATTGGCACTCCTGACCCTTCTGCTGTGTTCATGAATCAATTTTATCGTTCAACCTCACCCATCAAAGTCATGGCAAGATAATCAATTGCCATGAAGTGGATTTGGGGCAGGTATGCCAGAATGCATTGAAAACCACAAATGGCACAAGTGTAAGTAAAGTTTTGAAATACCTTGTTTGTGTATTTTGAAAGATTGTGAGCACAAATCTAACATTTAACGGTTAACAAAGTTAACTGGCAGCAGGAACAACTGTCTTTGAAAACGTCAGAGCACTTTTGCAAAGAGGCTCTATCTCGACAAACTGACCAAATATTTGAAGATTATGCCACTACAATCTCAGCGAAAAACTGTAGTTGGAGACACACAAACAGGGTATTTCAAAACTGTAAGTATAGTTTGGCTCCACACATGTCCAAATGCCTGTGTGTAGGCATTAATGAATATGACAATGTGACAGTGCACTGCGATTGCGATCATGAGCATCTACTCACTAGTTTAGCCGGTGGCCCACAACAGTTGACCACCTTACAGCAATAGGCAGCCAAAGTAACAGAGATGGCAAACAGAGTCGCCTGGATGAGTATACCTCCAGCACAAAAGTGGGCATTGATTTTCTGTAAATAGAACACAATACACACACATGACATATGGACATCTTTCATGTCATTCTTCAGCTCAACTTCCTTCATTAAATTGTGCATTTAGCATACTGTGAAGTGCCGTCACATTACTCTTCCACCTATTTCAATTCAATTTTATTTATATTGTTTACATTTATTATAATTGTAGTTTTTCCATATTTATATAAATAAATAAAACTATATTGAATTATATAGCACCATATCACAAGCCCGCTGCCCCAAGGTGCTTTATATTGTGAGATAGCCTCTGTCAGTGCGCCCCAGGGTGGCTGTGGCTACAATGTAGCTTGGCATCACCAGTGTGTGAATGTGTGTGTGTGTGTGTGTGTGAATGGGTGGATGACTGGATATGTAAAGCCCTTTGGGGTCCTTAGGGACTAGTAAAGTGCTATACAAATACAGGCCATTTACCATTTTTACCATAGAGACCTTACAATAATACAGAGAAAATACTGGTGGCTGCCAGTTACCCCAGTAGATGCACCAAGCCATCTTTTTGAAAAATCCTACACTATCGCATTCACGGGATTTTCAGAAAACTTCTGAAAATCTGTGATCATGATCACTTTGGGATCAAAGTTGTCCGAGATTCGTAGTAGACGCACCCATAGTGTTAATTTTAAACTTCTGCTCTGTCTCATTCTCGAGTTATTGCATGCTCACACTTGGTTGTCCATGCCATTTATGTCATCTGGCTTGATTGACAGATAAATCTGGGCATTATCTGCAGTGAAAATGTAAGCGATACCCAGAACAATATTGCCAAAGGGAAGCATGTATAATGTAAACAGAACTGATCCTAGTACAGAACCCTGTGGAACTCCATAATTAACCTTAGTGTGTGAAGAGGACTCTCCATTTACACTAACAAATTAGAGTATATTTGATAGATATGATTTAAACCACTGCAGTGCAGTACCTCTAATTCCTATGTACTGCTCTAATCTCTGTAATTAAATATTATGGTCAACAGTATTGAACGTTGCACTGAGGTCTAGCAGGACAAGCACAGACACGAGTCCACTGTCAGAGGCCATAAGAAGATCCTTTGTAACCTTCACCAGCGTCTTTACTGATGAGTTCTCAAACCTGACTGGAACTCTTCAAATAAATCATTATGCTGCAGATGATCTGTTAGCTGTTTGAAAACTACTCTTTCAAGAATTTTCCCACATTAGAATAATGGAAGACAATAGATGGTTCTTAGTTTGACACTTCCCTTTCTTCCACTAATTTGAAAATAAAATGAATGTAGTTCAACTAAATATAATTACAATATTCTTATAAAGAAGGCATTTGTTACTCACCTCAATTTTATGGCAGATTTCACCATAGTCCATCATGTAAGAGTGCCAGCAGTAATAGGGTGTGTTATCCTTAATCAGAGTGCAGACTAGATTGACGATGGAAGCGACACACGCCACAATCTGCATCACCAAGCAGGCCCTTAGCTGAGAAAAACAGCTGATACAATTATTTGCTTGGAGACATGGATACATTGTGTAAGAAGATAAAAAAAAAAAACACTTTAAATTTCAATCCTGATATAAAAAGTCAGTTTCACTCCTCCCACTTGTTTCCAGCTAGTTGCTAACAAGGTGACTGCTGGTGTCTGTCTGCTGTATTATGAGAAGTACTGCTTCTACATCCTGGCCATATGTGCTATTGCATGTACTGGTCACTGCCAGTCCTGGCAGTAAAATGTCAGGGACAAGGTCACTTGACATGTGTAACAACTAGCTGCATTCAGCCTTACTCAGTGATTCTTAAAGGAAATGAGACTGAGAGCTGTTCTGTTTCTGTGGCAGGGGACTTCAACAGTGGCATTAACTGATACGGTAAATATCTTCCCGTACTCTGTGGTTGCTGTTTTTAAGCTGTTATGTTGTATGTGCATGCTTGTGTGCACACTCACTGTCGGCAGATGAAGATTCTTTGCTGCTATAGCTATGCTCCCAGCTATTATCACCTGTACAGAGAACAAAACCACACACAAGAAGGCTGACATTAGGCCCAAGTCTGGAATTAACCAACTAACAGAATTAAAGGTAGTGCAACTTTTCTATGAACTGGTAGTTCGATCCCTGGCTACTCCAGTCTGTGTTCCAAAGCATCCTTGGGCATGATACCATGTACAGGTTGCTCTCAGTGGATTCAGTGCAGTGTGATTGTTAGCTAGAAAGTGCTCAGGCATGAAAGGAAGTGCTTGTATGAATGGGAAATGTTGTATAAAATGCTTTAAGTGCTCCAGTAGAGTAGAATTTGCACTCAATATTTTCATTCAGCATACTTTCTTGTATTTAGCTATCAATTGCTAGTAGTAGTTGGATGACTGCAATTAAACAGACTGGCGAAGGTAATTAAATAACTAATCTAATTTATAACACAGACAACTTGCCAACATGTTGCAGTCACTCTGAGTCTACACTGATGGGTACTACACTTATTTACTACATCCCTTTGAAACAGAGAACTCTATATTTTGGGTTATCTTCTTATATAAAAGCAAGGTTGTTAAGTGCCGGTGTCATTTTGCAGATCAGTGATTGTCCTGCAGCAAAGATGTCACTATTTGAAAACATTTCATGTCTTTTATTCTAGCTGGACTTGGGATGCAAGTAGTTATGAAGAATGCAAGTTTTCTTGTCTTATATAGTTTCTCTGCTCATCTAATGCTGTGTGTGAAGTGTCTGCAAACTTACCAGGAGAGATGAGATGAAGAAAGGTATAACAGCGTACGTATTACCCCAGTTACTCAGAAACACAATGGTGCTGAGCATCGTGAAAACACTGAGGCTGATCTGAGTGATCTGAAGTAAAGTCAGGAAAAGGTGTCAGAAAATGAACCTAGAACAGTTGAATTTAATGATCTGGACAGATGAGTGAGTACTTTTGGCAATATAGTGTGTATATATAAACTAGTTGAAGTTGAAGACACACACACACACACACACACACACACACACACACACACACACACACACACACACACACACACACACACAAAATACCCCCAGAGCTTTGGGTTCAGCTTCCAGGTATTTCTCTTTCCTGTGGATGTGTTTCTGGAAGGTGAGTGTGACCAGAGGACTTTGTGCTGGGCTGATGGCTTCTTCCACAGCTGGTACTTCTTCTGAAAGCAGCAGTGAAAGCATCTCTGTTACTGCTGCACAGTTTTGACTCAGCTCAGTATCCAAACTGTGCTGCTAAACTTCACTGCAAATCACAGCGGTATTCATGT